ACTATATAAAGCAATTAACAGTGTTTTTATTCTCAATTTAAAAAATCAAACAATGGAACCCTTCAATTTTCACGCCGTCTATGAGACACAGAAGTATATCTCTGTGGTTCTGCGCATGGAGCATGAGGTATATATGGTTGTCTGCATGAAAGAATAAAAAGATCTCGCGTAGTCACGAGATCCGGCGCCATTATCGCGAAGGTACGTGATTTCAAAATTTACTGATATTTTGGCGCTTGTTTTTGATGTATTAAATGTAGTTACGCTTTCCTGCTTGATGGTGATATGGCAATGGTTTGTTTATTAACGTATGGTAACTCTGCATCTTGTGGTATATGTGATGTTGTTAATTTACTTATGAATATTGATCAATCTTGCCAATTTTTCGTGTTCTTTAAACTAATTAAACTCAGAAATACTTTAGAATTGATCAGTAGTACCAGTATTTAGGCCGTTGCTGTATTTAGTCTTTTTTTTGTTGTTATAATATTACTATCCGGCGGAAGTAAAATAGTACTAGTAGTAGTAGTAGTGTCATATTTACGCCAGTAGTACTGTAAAGGTTATAATATAACTGTTTACTAATGCCAGTAAATGAGTAATGCAGTGCTACTGTTACCAACATTTGACTTTTGAGCGTTAGACAGTCACACGCATTAGTTATAAATATAAGTAAAAGTAAATAAAATTCGCCTTTTGGTCAGTTTCTTATTGATGTATTATTTAGAAATAGCATATTTCTTAGACACACTATGGTTGGTTGACCACCTGGATCTGGGTCAAAATACTCAAATTCAGCATCACATTGATCCAGATTGCACCATTTTACTTTATTGAATAAGAAAGTATAGTGTTGCTACCAGATCCAACTAGAACTTAGAAGGCAAGCATAGAAAGGGATCAGAGCTAGGATATTAGTGGAATAGTGTCATTCATTGTGTCACCCTTATTTGTTTTGTTTTTACACTTGAAATGCTGAACCAAATTGCATGAATTTTGAACCTTTTTAGTTTTACATAATATGTAATTTGTGCTTGAAGAAATGTATAATTCTGATTAGTATTTATATAATATTTTAGATTGTGAATTTTCATAAATTGTAATTTTTAAATGATGTTTGTAAAAAAACATTGAAAAATACATCCTTACTCTTAGAATTTCTGTTTCTTTTTATTGTGTGCATAGAATAATCTAAAAGTATTTAATAGTTATTTTTTCAATGAAACGTTTTGTTCTGTTGAATTGTTCTTATTATTGGCATACTCATTTTCTTGTGTATTCATTCATGGATGCTTTTATGTACAGAAGAAGTTAAAAAGCTCTTCACTGATTCAGTGGCAAGTCAGAAGTTATAGTTCTGTTATAATGCTAAAAACTAGCTTTTGATACCCGTAGTGGGCACAGCACAGAGAACCCATTGTGTAGCTTTGTGCTTATCCAACTTAAAATATACGAAGCAAAGAAATAAAAATATATTTTGTTAAATATTATTTATCAGAAAGTTCCATTGTATATATCTCTAATTGTGTGTAACTTGTTCTATTTTCATCAATTATTTATATTATTTGCTTATTGAAGCAATTATGTAGCTGTGAAAATAATGTAAATGCCGGTTAAGAGAAAGGTTGTCAACTGGTAGAATGTCATTGACACAGGCAATATTTTTCCAAATATATTTGTGGTCAAGCTCAGTTTCTTTTAAGTAGTTATGGTTTGTTTTCAATATATTGTATGCATTGTTTGTGGATTAATAAATTGACTAATACACACAAATGAAAAAAAAGAGAAGCTTTTCTGTCACCTCAGTAGTTTGGCACTGCAGAGCTCCAAGTTTACTGAACTCACTAACCCTAGATATCCTTATATACTCTCATCTTAGACTCTTTTGTTATTCACTATGGCAACTTCTGCTTGTCACTTTTCAAAAAGTGTACACTATGGCGTGCCCAAGTGTTATTTGCATTACTTAACATAGATAGACAAGTCTTTTTCTATTCAGTCATGTTTAGCTATTGATTCTGTCTTTTTCTGGAGGCTAAGATTTGTTAGTTAGTACCTACCCAACTCACCTGCTGTTATATCAAAAAAGCCGCTCAACATAAGATTCTTGAAATAGTTATTGAAAGAGAGTTATGTCACATGAGAAAAAAAAACTTGGCTAAGTCTTTTACCATGGGCTATCAGGATCTGGGTAAATATAAATCTATACTTTTAAATCAGAACAAAAATTAAAAAAATATGGAAGGTTTTTGCTTACAATTTTTAGGTATTTTCAAGTTGGTGAAATGGAATTATAATTACTATTTTTATTTGAATTATTAAATTTTTTATACAAGCATTCCCTCAGTGCCCTTTTCACCCCAGAAAGCTGTCCAGTGGTCCAGATAGGGTTAATAAATTATAATCAACTTAGGTGGAATTATCAAAAATAGTAATAATCAGAAACACTTATTTCAGTAAGTTGATTATTTTTATGAGTTGCAACACTATTTGATTAAATTGAATGACCTTGAATTAATGAAAAATAATATTGAGAAATCATAATGGCATATTTCAATTACTTCTACAGTTGAAATAATTGATAACGGTAATAATTGGACATTAATTTTGAGAAGTTTATTATTTTTGTGACATTAATCAATTTATTCATAATGTCAATTAATCGGTTACTTTATTAGATAATTGAGTTAATCACCCAGCTCTGATAGCAATAATTATGCATGTATGTTATGGAGGTGTCATAAGCTTTTACTTCTTAAAGTGAAAGTACCATCGGATTATGAAGAAATTAAGATTTATATATGTGATTATTGATATCTTTCTGGAAAATCTTTGGCTGTGATAACATTTAATCATTCTAAAATTTACAGAATTTTTATTTAAGAGTAAGAAGATTATTCTAACATTGTAAGATACTCAAATGAGCAGTTATTTATTGTACAGTTTCAACCCAATTATTATTAAAATGGTATGAACAAACTAAATTTTGAGTTTCAAAGAGAGGCTTGAAGACTTAATTGTTAACATTTTTGTTGAAGGTGTTACTGATATTTGCCATATCCAGTGTTGATGAGGCCTTTCACTCAATACCAGGACTAGAGCTGGGTGATTTGAAATATTCAATTACAACAATTTGTGTTTCATAAAATAACCAGTTAATCAGAATTACGATTACATTGATTAATGTCTAGGAAATAGTCAACTAGTCTGAATCAGTTTTTCCAATTATTCCAACTATACAAGTAATTCAAATCTTACTATTATGATTTGAATTATAATTTTCAATTAATTGAAGGTTGTTCAGCTTAATCGATTAGAATCACGAAAATAATCAGCTAGTCATCATTTCCATTAACCGATACATACTTGTCATTCTTATGTAGATAAAATTAATCCTTTTAAGATTCATGGGGCAGCATGTGAATGGAGGTATTGGCTGTAGACTCTTCACATTTTGCTTTCAAAAATGCAAAGCATAATATCATAGTGACTTGGGATTAATGTACTAGTATCTCAGAAAATTTAAAGTTATACATATATTTATAGTAAAGTATGTATTACAAAAAGAGTCTCTCTCTTATGAAATACATTTTAAAAATAGAATTGAAATGACACAAGTGGTTTTAATTTTAGATAACAAGAACTGTGTTCACCAGATGTTGCTTTAGTATTAAACTATATATCACTCAAAAAACAGTTTTTTCTGAAATAAACATACATTGAAAATCAACAATTTATGTACTTTCCTTTAATGATTAGTTCCAAAGTGCAACATCATACAGTTATGTTTCTGCTCACAGTTCATTCTACATGCATTCAATAATTACTGACAATAAAACTTTACCATCCCCCCATAGGTTTTTCCTAGTGAAAAGGCTGATAATCAAAATTAGTGTTTGTTTACTGCTACTTACAATTATTCCACCTGTGTCCAAGTCTTGTGAGAATAATTGATTTGTTGAATGTAATCACTTATCAAATTACATTAATTACCTATCTATAACCAGGACTGTAATATGACACAGTAATGGTTGACATGCTATTTATGTTATGAGATTGCATTAATGACGACTTGTGATGTGAACTATGTTGTACTGGTGAAGTGTTTTTTAATTTCTACGAGTCATTTACAAATCAGTATTCAGGTAAGGATTAGTAACACAGCATTATGTATTTATTTTAATATCAATTATTTACTATTATTATTTCTTTTTTCTTGAATTTACTTTACACATCATTCAGAAGAAATGGCGAACCAGCAAGCTTGTGTTATTTTTTATGAGAGGGTCAAGCAACCACAGCATTAAAAGAAGAATATCATTAGTAATTATAAGAATTTAAGAATGAAAGTAAAGAAGAATGTATAATAATGTCAACCACACTATATCTGTGATATCCACTGCTGATGAAGTTTTTTGTCCAATACCAGGGCTTGTCAGGCAAGTTGTGATATGACAGACACTAAGTTTGCTGATTACATGAAACTCTAGTATTTCTAGTTTTATTTAGGATGTTAAGGTATGGCAGAATTAATTGGATGATTTGAGAAGTTGGACAAATATTTAGCAAATAGCTTTTAACCATAGTAAGGCCAGGGTTATGTATTTGAGTTATAAGTTGGATCTGATGTTTAGTATAGATGGTAACCCACTTAATAATGTGACTGAAGAAAAGGATCTAGGCATAGTGGTGGTTAAGTCATTCAAGCCATCAAAGCAGTCTTGTGTTGCTAATAATAAAGATAATAGCATTTTAGGGTGTATTTTATAGATGTGGATTATAATTTTAAATGGGTAATTATTGCTCTGTACATAAAACTAATTAGGCTTCTCTTGGATTTCTTTGCACAGTTTTGGTCTCCTTATCTTAGAAAGGATATTGACTTATTGGAAAAGGTTCAGAGGAAGACTATCAAAATGATTGCAGAAATGGAAAGGTTATCTTACTGGGACAGTTTAAGATTCCTCAACCTATTTTCTATTGAGGAAAGAATGGTAGGAGATGAACCATGATTTTGTTGAAATTTACAAGGTTTCCTGGGATTGGAAGGGGTGGGATGATAGGATAAAGACCTCTGGTTTGTTTGTACTATAATCTTAAGATAAGAGGCCACAAGTATAAGATTTATAAAAGACAGACTAGACTTTAGTTTAGATAGTATTAGTTTTCTAATAGGTTGATTTGACTTGGTCAATCATTATTGAAGCCTAGCACATTATAGGAGTTTAAGATGAGAATTGTTGGCTTAAACTTGCTATTCCCAGGTGTCAGTGTGAAAGGACAGTCATGAAGGACCAAAGGGTCCCTTGTTGTCCATAGTTTATGTTGTGTTAAAAAGTACCAAGATTGTGAAGTATGTGTACGTATGTATTTATGATGGACAGGACCTACTTTACCCAAGATACTTAAAACCATTTTGTCAAACTTCTAACTTAGAACAGTATCAGCTTGATAATTGATAAAATTTTCATTCAGATCATAATATTAGTTATTGCAAAAACTAAATGATTAATCATAATATTAAAGATTTAGAAAAATAATCTTTGTAGCCATGCAACTAATCTGAAATTAAAAGGGTTGATGTTTATATTTAGATAAAATTTGTTACATGTGAATGTTTTTTTCATTGAGTTTTGTGATATTTACTTTTGCAACAAAAAAAATTAGATTCTGTTTTGTTTCTTTCAGAATGTCTGGTGGACAAGATGTTATGGCTAGAGTATATAATGGAGCAGAATCTTGTACTGGTATGTATTCATGCCATGTAAACTTTTTGCTGAGGGTGAATTTAATAGTTTCTCCCCATAGATAAAATTTTCTGATTTTTTTGTTTATTGATTTTGTCTATTGTGTAGAAAATTATATTATAATAGAGGCATTGAATAAGTTATTGTTATGAAAAAATTGTTTTTCAATGTATTATAAAGTTTTAAGAAAACTAAAAAATAAAAATTGTTTGCTTTGTATCTGCATTGAGAATTGTTGAACTTTTAAAATGTATAGATTTGTTCATGAACAGTGCATCCTCACTTTTAATCTGAATTGTTAGATACTGAATATTATATCAGCTAATAACAGACACAGAGTTGTCAAATCTGATGGAGAAAAATACTGCATTTTAAAAAAATTGCAGCAAGAATTAGTATCTCCAAAAGATTTTCTGATAAGGTAAAATTTTATAATAAGTAAAAAGGTTCTCAATTTTAATTTTGTTGAAGCACAAGGCTTAAATTACTTTTGAAAATTTGAGTAGCAGCTTTTGCTAGTCAATCTTGAAATTGACAAACAGTTAGTACGTTTAGAATAGCATTAATAAATATCTATTTTGGGCCCTTATACTATATTCAGTGTATACTTTCATTATGATGTTTTCATGAAGTATAAAGGGTGCATGGTTGAGGGAGGGAAAATACCTAGTCAGAGGAATATAAAACAGGCATAAATGGTAAATGATTCTAGATATAAAAAGGTAACCAAAATTCTGTAAGAATCTATCTTTACAAAAGGTTTTCTATAAAATAAGGTATAAAGCAAAAAGGTTCTCATTTTTATTTTTGTAGAAACATATAACAAAGCTTTCCTTACTTTCTTCTGTTGCTCTAGCAAGTTGTACTAAAGAAAAAATTACCAGATATTCTGAGCTGTTACTTTCAAATCAACAAGAAACAGCTTCTACCACACCACCATGTCTTCAAGTCTTTACCCTTGACAAGAATTTCCTGGTGTCTCAGTTGGAAAATGGAGAACTTTGTGCAACAGATGGAACAATTTTGAAGCTGTATGGTCCACTTCAAATTCATGAAGCAATTGCTGTTGAGCAAGACCACTTGGAAAGTCATAATTCCAGTAATATTCAGCAGACCAGAATTACTTTGGAGACAGGAAAGTCTGACCCAGTTCAAGTATGAAGGGGCTCTAAACAGAAAAAGATGTATTGAAGTACAAAGAGTCTGTGTTTAGTTATTATTAAAAGCAAATTCTGAACATGATTAATTATATTAATACTCTTTTTTCACTTTTTTTTAACCCTCTTGCTACAGATGGATAAAAGTGAGCATGTCCTGACTTTTTTACAGAGTTACATTCAAAATTTAATTAATCTACTTCATTATTAATGTATACAGATAAACTTGGTGTCAAAGTGTAATTAGTAAAACAGCTTTTAATGTTACATAAGTTGTGATGAAGAGGAACCCACTTTGAGACTAATAATGGCTGGAGACGGCTGTACATTTGCTGTTATGTCAAACTTATATTAAAGTTTTTCTTCATTACCCATTCAAGCCGTCTCCAGCCATTATTACATAAGTTTGTTTTGTTTCAAAAGAAAAACCATTAAATAAATTGTCAATCTCTGCCTGTCTGTGTAACGTGACATTTATTTACTCCTTCTTGTCCATTTTCTGTATTTCATCACCCCCATATTATGTCCTTAGGCTAACATAAATTACTAATTATAGTATAGGTATTACTAAGGCATAGTCTAATTGTTATAGCCTCTAATCTTTTTTGTTTACAGAGATATAAACTAGAAAACAAAAATCACTTGACATGCCCTCATTTCATGTCATCTCTTTCACAAATTGTGTCCCCCAGTGGCACAGCGGTATGTCTGCGGACTTACAACCCTAGAAACGGGTTTCAATACCCGTGGTGGGCAGAACACAGATAGCTTTGTAGCTTTGTGCATAATTAAAAACAAACTTTCACAAATTGCCAGTAATTTTCTCAGACATTTATTATTTATTACATTATTTATAACCAATTGACAGACAAAGTTTTAGTTTATTGAATGATGCATAATTCTAACTTGTTTTCAGTAGAGATTGCTAGTTATTTTACAAATTGAAAGCTACAACCACTGAGTTCAGATCAAAGAACTAAAGGAATTATTTTATGGCACTTATACCCTAGTTACAAAACCTGTTCAATTATAATGGTTATAGGACTTTGTTTGCTTTGTGCATATTATTATTTTGTGTTTTTAAGTGCATATTTCAACTAATTACTAGTAATATCATTACGAGGAACTAGTGTTCAGTTTCATTGGCAAGCTGACAGCAAAAAAACCAAGAGGCCAAACACAAGAACAAAATTTCTTGTTTTTGTATGCATATTTTTATTTATTGTTATAAAAGTAACTAAAATGTAAAAATTAGAAACTTGTTAGGTTATATTATGGGAAAAAAATTTTTTCCATGAGATATGCTCATGAGTAGTTCGTGTGTTACAGAATTCTATACTATAACTACGTATTGGCTGTGTGATTTACAACTTCTATTGCAGGATTATTTGTGAGATGTTATTCAAAGAGCAATAATGCAATAGAATAAAAATGTAGACTGTTATGAGCCTCAAGCTGTTTAGGATAAATAACATTTATGCAAATTTAAACTTCATAAAAGTTGTTTGGTTTTAAGAACAGACTTTTCATAATTCAGCTATGTAGATTTCAAAAATAATATTCATTTTTTTTCTATTACATAAAGAATTTTTTACAAATCGGGAATTTAAAAAAATCTTAGATCAAACATTTATTTTGTTTATCACAATGAACATTTTTTATTATTATGTTTATTAAAAAAATACAAACAAACTGAAGAAAAGGGAAGAACACTGATGTTAAAATGAATATGCATCCTCATTCATTCTGATTTTCTGTGTGGAATCTACACCTTTTAGTCTCAAAACTACTTGTGGGGGTCTTTCTTTTATGTATTGTGTTGTGTCGTTTTGTGAAAAATCTATACGTGATGGAGAAAAATGGATATCATTTTCAGATTCAGTGTACAGGAATTACTGTAGCACATGTAACAATTTCAAGACAAACCATTGCAGGCCTGTGAAATTATAATTTTCTGTTATAATCTGCAGTCATTCTCGAAGGAAAAAGGGTTACTTAGATTTATTTTGTGGTGGTTAAAAGATCAGCCAAGTCCATATAGTGTTAGGGTAGTGAAAATAACAGGTAGAATGTAAAGCTTTACTGAAACAAAACTTTTAACACTTGAAAACTATAAGATGAAAAAAGGTATTTTTAATCTTTGCGGAAACCACCTTGCACTCAGACTAGTCAGGATATGAATCAGGCTCTGATTCCATAAATTCACAGACAAAGCTTTAGTAAAAATACATAATTAAAAATCTGATTTACTGTGTACAAAAGACTTGTAATATTTAATAAAAGCTTACTATCTTCAAAGTTATTGTATGTATAGATGTTTGGATAAAAGAACAGTCAGAATGACTGAGCCTGTACAGAGAGAGAGTTAATAAGGTTTTATGGGTCATCACCTAGAACCATGGTCAAGTAAAAGTTTTTTTATATAGAATTTTCCACATTAAAGCAATGACCCAAATATTTCCAGTATTGTCCATAATAATAGTAATCTTGTATGTAAACCTTTAAATAGAAAGCTTATGAATATTCATGCATTTGAAATTGTTAAGAATAATTTAAATTTTTCTTCTATTATCCAGACATTATTGGCTTCTGTACAACAAGCTTTACTGCTTCGCCTGGATCAACTAGAAGAAAAAGTTAACAACATAGATGCTTTGTGTCAGACCATCTCAAGAAGAGTGGACAGGGCTGTTATCTTCTTGAAAGAATCGGGACCATTAAATAGGCTAGCCATACCAAGTAAGAACTGGTAAACTTTTTTTTTTGCTAAGTTAGCAGAGTGTATGTAGAGTTTTATGGGGTTTTTGCATCACAACTAATAACAAAATTGGAAACTTGTATATACTAATTGTGCAACAGAACTACATTTTTTTATTGATATAAGAACATATTTAGGTAACAGCTTAACAACTTCCTTGGCATGATAATCAACATCACCACATTTGCAAAATTTGCTTCATTCTGTTTCTTAAGTCTTGAACCACAACATGAGTATCTATTACCCTTACATGTGTGAAAATTTTGTTATTCACTAGCACAAAATTGATGTATGTATGTTGCCTGAGTAAATTCAAATCAGAAAAAATAAAACATGAAACATCATCCTCTTTGACTCCTTTTGTTAGCAAGGTACTGGAATCTATTCTTATAAATAACTGAAATTTGGAATTTATTTAATGAACAATATGCAAAATAATGGACACAAAATTGTTATTTTTTAGAATGATTGTGTAGTTACAATCACTCTAACACAAATCTTTTAGGCTATTTATATCATATGTAAACTATAGACAATTTAACTTTTTCCATTTTATTTAAAGACTAGTTTTAAACGAAGTTTCACCCTTCAACAAAACTTTTGTTATGTGATTAGTTTCAGGTGCTTAAATTTTTTTTCAGGCTTTTCCTCTGTTTCCCTAGGGAAATGATTGAAAGAATAAAGATATTTAAATACTGTATTTTGTAGTAAAAGGTGATTCAAATGGATATCTCTCACTTATAGCTCACTTTTTCCCATTTTCAATAAGTAATAATAAGCATCTTTCTTGCATATTTTTGAAAGTCTGTAAATAATAGTACATCTTTTTCAGGCTTAGAAAAGCTATGGAAAAATGCTATGTTCCTATTAAGGTCTAGAAGAATATTGAGTTTATAATTTCATGTCTGCATTGATTTTAAAAAAAATCCATGTTTTATCACATTGGTAACGTAAACACATTTTGAAATATCATCAGTTCTTACAACTGTGATAAAAAAATATATCTGATGTGCAAGCACTTTTCATCACAGATGGTTTTACTAGCTTTCATATTGGAATTTCAGTCCATGCTTTGAGATCTTTCTTCAAATGTTACATTTCTATATTTAAAAAAGGGAATATGTTTGTGTGTTCTGAATCTTGGAAGCATAAAGATAAGTTTATTGATTGAATTTCTCATAATTCTACTTCTAAATATGGAGTAAAATATCATATATGCCAGTAATCATTTGATGTTTCTAAAATGGCTGGCAAAAAGTATGAAAACTAAAGCTCATTCATTGTAACATCTTGCAAGTTTCTTCAATAACATTGAAAATATTTTTAGGTATGAACTGAAATATTTTATTTATTTTAATTTTGAACTATACATATTTATATATTTCTGTTTTTGTTCTTGCTTATCTGAATATATTATTGCTGTACATGAATTTATATCTTAGTACACTTTAATCCTTCCCAGATGGGTCATGGGTGAAAGGCCATGTCATCACGTTTGTTGACTTGCATTCAAACGTTTATTGAACTACTATTTCATGAATTTATGTCAATAAGTTTGGTATCAAACTGTATATTATTATTCAAATTTTAGTATTATACCTTACTCAATTTCTTAATTTAAAAGTAAATATTAAAAAAATACAGTTAAACATCAATTTTTATATGTCACATGGTATGTTGAATGCAGCACTGGTTCAAATTACATGTTTGTGATGTCGAAATACTAAGTCTATTGTTTTGTACGAATTAGCAACTCAAATTACCAATATTGACAAGCCAGAATATAAAACAATAGCCTCTTATCTTTTCAATTTGCTAAGATATTGTTCATGTAATAAATCAAACACAGTGGCACCCCTCCCACATCTTTCCATTTTTGAAAATGCTCCTTTATATACACTTACTTCTATATGTGATATTAATAACCAGTCAGAAGCTCAGAATGTCCCTCTAGTGGCTTTTTTAGCCATTTATCATCTTTGGACACCATCTATTTCTTTCGAACCAAGGATTGAAGGAGGTAGTTTGTGTCTTTAGTCTGCTCAAAATTTCATATTTTTCTAAGACTGAAATACAGCTTGGTTACTAAACTTGATAAATTATAGTGGAATTCTATGGTATTGACATAGTAACATATGATTGTTTGATAATATATAAAACCTACAAAAAGTATTTTGTTTCATATCCTCCTTAGCAACCTACATCAAGCAGCAACCAAGTACTAAGGTCGTAACTAGAAGAGATAATTGTTTGCTTTGCTTCTTTATTTACTGTTTTAAGAAAAATCAGTTTAAGAACTTATTTCTAAATAGCAGTAATCTATATACATATGTAATGTATAATAATTGAAATGTGACTGTATTCTGCTAAAACACAGCCAATACAGGTCACTCTGTAAAGACTAAAGGTCAGTTTCTGTTATTTGATACAGTAACATGAGTGCTTGTTAACTGAGCAAACTACTAATAAGAGTGATTGAGTTATGCTTCTAACATCTTTCTTTTCCATCAGTAAAACATTATGCTTTTGTTCAAGAGAACTAACTTTTATAATAACATTAATTGACCTATTACAACAGTATGTGAACTGTTAGCGTGGTAAGGTTTAGCAAATGTAATATACAAAAGACTAGTATCTTGGTTTTAATTTAAATGTAACATTGTCTAGTGATTTATGAACAGGAAAGAATCTGATTAATGTTTAATAGAAAGTTAGAATTTTAAATGTAGAGGAAGTTTCTCCCACTTATGTATTCTTGAAACTCGTAATATTACTAGAAATCAATTACTTGTTAATATTAACTTATTGAGAAGATTATTAATAGGCATGATGACATAGTGAGTCTATTACACACAAGAAGTTTTATTGTTTATTTTTGTTGTAATGTATTTTAAAAACTACATGTTTTAACTCATTCAAGTAGTTGTGCTTTAGACATTTTTTTAACTTCTTTTCTCATTTCTATCATAGAGCTGGTACTGTTATTGTTGGCCTTCCTCCTAAACAGCCAGGTATGTTTTAAGTTATATTGTCATAAAACAAAAAAAAATGTTACTTCAGTAATTTGTTTTCAAAAAACGTTGCAGTTTTTTTTTAAGTGTAATGTTAAAAGTACATGCCATGTGAAATGTATGCACTAATACGTAGTTAAGTGTTTCCTGTTGATAAACTAAAATTAGCTTTGCAAAGTACATAGTAATTATATGTATGGTAAATATTTAACTAGTAATGTTTATAAAAGAAAACTAATCTATGTTTTAACACTTATTCATATACATGCAGTGTTGCTAAACAGTAATAGTTTGTATTTGTTACAGACACGTATGCTTCAGATGGATCTACAAGCAGGAACAGTATACAGCTGATAAACCTGAACTCAGAAAGTAAGTTGTTAAGTGTAAGATAGATTTCACCTTAAGAAGAAAGAACAAATGTTTTAGTGTAAATGAGTTGTATTAACTCTGTATATGAGATTGGTGATTTTGACTGACCACCGTGTAACCATTAAACTATACATACTATAACTCTGAACTTGCTAAGTGTATCTTTTCTGAAATTTGACAAGCTTAAGTGTTAAAAGTTTGTTTTACATAAAAAATCAGATTTTTTAATAAAGTGTTTTTACTAAAAATTTGTCAGTGAATTTACAAAGTCTTTACTGAATCAGTCTAGGTGAAAGTTGATTTTCATGTTAAGAATAGAAACATTTTTTGTCATGTTATGGTTTTCATATTTACAGTTGTAGAAGAATTTATTGCATCACCCTCTTTTTTTTCACACTTCTTCGGAATCATTGTCTGTTTTGAGGCCCTAATGCAGGTAGATACAAATTTGTTTCATGGATGAGGCAATACTGTCTAAATTTTACATCAGCAACTTTAAACATCAGCATTTCAGGAAACTTCATGGCTCATTGTCACTATGCGGACCTTTTGGTCTCACTTGTGTTAAGCCAGTCTCCTAGCAAGAGGGCTAAGAAAAAAAAAACCTCATTCCCAACAAGGTAAGGAAGATGAGGCTCAACTAGGCCAAATAATATGTTGACTGGACTGAAGCAATGTGATCTCAGAAGAATCAAAGTTCAACCTGCATGGCTTTGATGGGAAGCACTGTGTATGATGTTGATGTGGAGAAGAGTTTCATCCAGCATATTTGAATGCAACTGTGAAGCATCTGCAGGGTCAGGTGATATGGAAATGCATCTCTAGACAGGGTGTGAGACACCTCCACTTTGTGAAAGGCACTGTCAGTGTTGACAAATTCATCAAGTCTGCATTAAAGCCAACAATTTGGGATGAAGCTGATCAGTGCACATTCCGAGATGATTCTGCTCTGTGCCACAAAACTAAAATGGTTGGTAATATTCATGCACTCTATGCAGTCCATATAAGATCAAGAGAAATTTCACTCTGTGTGTATTAAAAAGACATTTTAGGTTTTATTTCATTGCTTCAACTGAAGGGCTATCTTCAAAGGGAGAGGATCAAGACACTATGCTGGCCAGGAAACATCCTAGATTTCATCCCTATCAAAACTGCTTGGAGGTATTGGGTAACAGAGTGTAAGAAAAGAAACTGAGAAGCACCTTGAAACTACAGGAAGCCCTAATCCATGAACTCACACCTGCCTACATTCAGTTCCTTGTGCTCTATGTCACAGTGATGTCAAGCAGTTATCAAGACCATAGAGGGCACAATCAAACATTAAAACAAGAAATGTACTGTAACCATTTTTTGTCAATTATATTAGTGGTGTTATATTTAAACTTAGTTTTTTTTTACTCATAGAAACATTTTCATATTTGCCAAGTATTTGTTGATCATCTGCTGTAATACATTTGTCATAATTATTTTATTAATAAAGATGCATATATGTGTTTGGATGACTGAAGTACGAGTTAGCTTACTCCATACAATGTCCTTAACTGTTTTACACTAGTTCCAACACTTACACAATGCACATCTTGTAAACAATTACAGGAACCAAGAGAAGTGTGAAAAAATTGGTTGATGTAATAATGTTTTCCACCACTGTAATTTTCATAATCTCTATGACCTATTAAATGAATATACAAATTTTTTTCTGGTTTTTATATTTTATTTTCTCTATCATAAATGCAGCAAAATTATCAATGTATTTTGAAACGAAAAGTTTACAAATATGAAATAAAATAAAAATACGTTTTTTTCTAGAATGACTGCAGATTATAACAGAACTTGAATTATTTAACCTAACAGCTTCTAACCTTTACCTATCTGCTTTCATCTACTTTTATTGTTTTACTGTTCTTTGAGCCTTCTCTAAGTACATGAAAAGCAATTAAACTTCAGCCAGAGAATTTCACCAGTTCAAATAATTTTTGAAAACCAATAGTTAAAGCCATGCTAAGTTTTTTAACGTTTCAGAGAAGACTTTGGGAGCTTTATTTTCAAGATATTCTCATTGTTTTCAAAAACAATTTTTTTAACAATTATAAAATTAAAAAAAAAGGTTCCTTCTCAACTTTACAAAACAAAATAAATTATAAGAATGTATTTTAGACACAACTGTGAGAGTGTATATAAAAAAAAGGTTAGCTGTAGTTGTTTTATTTTGTTCCACTACAGATGACTATCCCTATGGTTCTTGGCTGGGCAACCTAGAGAATTCAGAGATTAGAGTACGATGTCATATACTTCCGAAGTAAGCAATTTGCTGTATTCAGGTTCTGTGGTATTCCCACTTACTGTCATGTCAAAAAGAAAGTGAACAATATTTTCAGTTGAAATACAAAATTACTGTATGCTCTTTCTAGCTTTTGCAAGTACATTTGAGAACTTCAAGTTTATAAATTGAACATTTTGCATGCAATAAGCAGTATATTTAACAAAGGATACAAGCACATCGATTGTTTAAATCAGGAAATATCTTGATGAAATTTTCATTTGAAAAAAAAAACTATTAAATAAAGGCATTCCAAGTTTCTGGAAACTGTATGAAAACCATAACTTATTTTTACAAGTACAAATTTGAAAAGCTTTGAGAATTAGGTAAAGGAAAGGAGCTAAGTCCTTGTTTATGGTGTACAGTTTGATTAAAGACTTTTATTGAAATGAAAGATTGCTTAATTTAGTTTGAAAGATAGATATATGAACAAATACTTAGAAGTTTTTTACAAGTTTTCAGATATTGAATTCTTTTCTGTATGTGTTAATATTTTTGTTTCTGGTATTATATGTCTATATGATATATTTATTTGCCACTCTATTAACAGTCATGTATTACATAAAAATTGTTAATCAGTATTAAAACTTTAGAAATATCTTTTGAAAAATATAAGTAGTTCTTCTCTCTTAATTGTGGCTATAGATTTATTTATAATTGTTTAAAATATTTCAGGCACTTTACAAAAACAATTAAAAAGCTTATTTATATATAATTATTTTTTTCTCCTAAAAAAGCAGTTCTTGTTTGACAAAGCAAATGTTGGAAAATTAGTTTTTTTTTTTCTTTTTTAGTGACTTAGAAAGAATTAATCGGAGTTGTGCTACACCAGACAAAATGGCCCTCACTTTACTAGATTATCTTTTTGATCGAGATACTCAGGCCTGTTCTAACATCTCGGGAACAGGCAGACATGGAAAAAACAGCTAGATTCTTTAAAAGTGTATGGTATCAAATGTAGGTGACTAAGTATTTTCTCATAGTAATTGAATACTTTATCTCCTGTTATTGTTGATTGAGTAAATAATGTTTTGGGGGCATTTTTCCCCACCTGTATCAGTTAGTATGTTTGTGTGTGCTCTTATCAATGTAATATTGTGGTATGCAGATATACCATTTATTTTAGTATATAAATTTATACAGTTTTGTTGTAATTCAAAGTCTATGGAGTTTCAACATACTACATGCTCAAGAAAACTGTTAATTTGTTTTAGCTGCATTTGTTATTTTCTGGAGATAATACCTGTTCTGCACATGGAATGTATTGCTGTAATACTACATGTTGTGCAAGAATGTAGACAACAGCAACAGCTTTCAGTGGTAGCTCAGATGATAACTAGAATTCCTCCCCTATGGTGAATGAGAATGACCAACCACATAAGTACTGCTAGTTGCTGAGGGTAAATCTGATGTGTCCCATTAAGTTTGAAACATGGGGGGTAATCGGTTAATGATGTCATGAATAGAATGAAGGGGGACTGTCCACTGTTCAATGCAAGTACACATACTGTGTAAATACATAGTTTTCATTTTGTATTACACATTGTATCCAGTCTCTTGATTTCTTAGCTTAAACTGGGTCAGTTTAGTTTAAATCCAGCATTACTTTGTGATTATTAATCCTGCCAATCATCTTCATTATAAAGCAAACCTCTCTATATACTGTTTGCAGAAATCAATTTCCCCTGAGAATACCACAATATTTAAAGTTTTTTTTTTATTAAGTAAACCTCTTTTCTACTTGCCTAAATATTCTGTTTTTTAAGTGGTATTTGTACTGTAGTTTTTATTAATATTGTCCATTGTTCTTTCTTGTATTTCTTCATCTTGAAGAAAAATTAGCAATATAATTTGATACTGTCTTGTTGAACATTATTAATATGCTGTTGAATAATCAGTTATGGTGTTGTATTACACACTGGATCATACTTATTTCTGCAATTTATGTTTAAGATTATGCATATTGCCATTTCAAAATAAATTTCACTCTGTAATCAAATG